ATAAAAAAGATAAATATTGTATAAATGTTCTAGAAAACAATTTCCGGTTAAAGTTAATACTTTTAAAAATATATTTTATTATTACAATTTTTCTTTTTACACATTATACCATAATTTATTTCATTCATACCAGGATATGGATATTGAATTACTTATAAATTACCCTACATATAAGAATATTCTTTTTATCATATTTTACACAAATTGAACTTACGTGGCTCGTCAACAACTAAAGAAATGTTCAAAGTAGAAATAAATATTCGTAAATTATTGTATTAGATTTTAACTAAATATCATTACTACCTATCTGTAGATAAATATAGAAATAAATGTTTAATTATATCAGCGATGTAATATTTTTATATCAATATATTTAATATGTATTTATATGACGCATACACTTAATAAAGTTGCCAGTTTCATGATTTGGGCATCAATTTCATAAATTGTTTTTGACCTTTTCACAATGTGCATAATATTAATTTTATCTAATTTTTTTCTATAATTCATATATTAATTTTTACATTTGTCCGTTATATAAAATACATAGAAATAGAAATATTTTTTTTTTAAATAATAAAATACGAAAAAATGACGCGTAACGGTCGGCGTCATGGTATACAATACCGTATTACGGTATTACAATACAATATAATATATTATAAATAATTCTGTTGTTCGGCAACTATAGTTTTAAGCTCAAATTACAGGTGTGATACACCCATAAGAAAATTAATAATATCGAGAATAAATTAAAATCCTCCATATTATTCTTTAATCGTTCTATATCTATTCCTTAGCTTGTACATCACCACAGATCGCGGTAGCACCATGGAGCACCGAAGTCGCCATCAGTCAACAGTATCAACGACGGTATCACCGAGGTCATCACGTAGAAGCAACCTGAGTAATCAATCACTCTACTTCGTCTGTAAGCGTACGTTTCCCCTCGACGTTATTACGGGCTACGCTAACCACGGGGTAGCACAAAGAATAAAATCGTGACCCACCAACACAGGGACTCTTGTTCCACGTGTTTTCGTTATATATGTGAAGACTACTATATACCACATGGGTTAAATGTTGCCGATTCTACTACTATTATATATTTTCCATTAAAAAGAGTATAAAGAGTATAAAACACCAGTACTGACATTAAAAAAAGTGTATGTGTATTGTTTTACCATTGTAAATTATTTCGATTTATTATTTTTGAGAGGGTTAATGATACGGTCGCCTAAGTGTCCGCTGCATGTTCCTGATCGTCGTCCACGGTATCACGGCTAAAACAGGTTCGGGCGGCTGTCAAGACGCGACGTTAGTCAGACCACGCTTAACCGAATACATTGATATGATCATTATTAAATATTATAGAAAATATACGTTATTATTTTTATTATTATTAATATTGGCTGCTGTTGCTTTTGTGCCATCTACATTCTATTCGTCGGACTCTTGTGGATTACGGCGTCTACATATTTTAACTGATATATAGTGGATGCCAGTACTATTCGACATACCTTTAGAGAGAAGACGCTCTGATTAAAGCATTTTCCAACTATAAACTAATTACGAATCTTCCCATACACTATGAAATATTAAACAGCTGGTGAAAAAAAAAACTGAAATCACGAAACCCAGTTTGGTATACAACGAAACAACTACGAGAAACGCATTTCAATATAACCGAGTCCTATAAAACCGCCTGGCAAAAATCAACTCTTGACTAACATAATACAACGACTGATCCTACATCTACACTAATGTTTAAACACCTTCCTTGCAGAGACTAATCGACTTTAAACAGGCTTAGAACAAGAAATTACTACCGTAAATATTGTAGCCGAATCATTTTCCTGTGACTGTGGAACAATCTGTTTGACAATCAACCACATGATTCCAGACTGCACTATTTACACATTCTAAAACAACAAAAGATATCTCATATTTCTAAGTCTAGATGGCATCCATCCGATCGAACACCTAGACAATAGACATAGATCAATAATTTCCTGAGATAACGATATCTGTTATATTTACCTCTAAGCTTAGCACTGTTTGACCACATACAAAATTAATTCTAGTTAATCCTGTTTGATTATATTCCAAATCATTTCGTTTTATATTTTTTTGTATTATGCTTTAGTGCTGTTTGGACGTAAAATACTATACGAATAAAATTATAATAATTTAAAATAATTAATCAAAAACAAAAATTATGAATTATATAAAAAAAAAAAAATAACATAAAAATAAAA